CCTAAACCTAAACCCTAAACCGAAAAAATAAACCTTAAACCTTGAAACTTTTAAAATGAATTTTTATTTCTAATTCAACACAATTTCTCCAGTTGCCATAATTTCGAAATTTATTGAGGTTACATATCTAAAAGGATAAGAAGTCGAATGTTAATATTTAAAATTGCTTAAAATATATTTGATAATATTATAAAGAAATCTTATAATTTTAATTTTACAGAATAATTTTTTATCATTATTTCTTTACATTTTTTGAGAAAACTTTCTATGATAATTATAAATAAATATATAAATAGTAAAACTTTTCCAAATAAAAATATTCAATATAAATTTTGGTTATTTTATAATATAAATATATTAATAAAAAAAGATGTATTGGAGTAACGTGAGAATAATCATGAAAATAGTACATCTAATTTAAAGTACCATTATTAATCAATTACATAAATTGAATTTATAGATTAAGAAGTCATATATTATATGTATTGAGATTTTATAACAAAATATATATGCTCAGATATAATTTTATTTTTCTTTGTATATCATTTCATTTATATATTATTCAACAGTATCTTTTAATAAATTTTTATTTTAAAATAAATTTCATATTCAATTTATAATTTGATTTCATATATTTATCAATACACATGTGTATTAATAGTGTATTTGAAAAAATGTTAATAGAATAGTATTTTAATTTAATGTAATATTTATATTTTTAATTAATTCTTTTATAATTGGTTATCATTATTCAATATACACATGCACGGTATGGGACATTATCTGTTACTTTAAATTCAATATATATTTTATTAAATTATATTTTTATTTATAATATTCCATAATACATAGTTAAAATAAATTCATAACTAATTAGAAAATAATTGATTATGTGTTAATTCATTTTTTTAAGTTGACATCATGTGTTTCAAAGAATATAGGAAATCGACATAATCTTTAAAATACAGCGTATATATTCTGTTGTTTTATATATTTACATAAACTAATAAATTAATATAAATCGATTTGTTATATGGCATTTGCACGTTACATTAGGTTAGAAATAAAACAAAGAAATTATATGTAAATATATATGTTAACTTACATACAACTATGTTTATTTTCAGATAAATATATTTTATATATTTTTTTTCAAGCTATGATTATATATATATTTTGTAAAATATAATATTGTGAAAAAAATTATTTGCATCAGAAAATTAGAAAGTATATAGTAGTATTAAAATGATGTGTACAAGAAAACATTAATTATATATTTACCTTAATAGACCAGTAAGTGTGAGATAAGTAAAGCTAAAAATATTTAAATCGTACATAAGAATAGTGGATACATTAATGCATTTTAGTAATTTCCAAAAACTTCTTTAAAATGGGCACGTAAAAAATACATTTCTTGTATAGTTTCATAAGTAACCAAATAATGATAATGTATAAATAATTTATTTCTTAATTTATTTATTATTAGCATTCCATATATAATTAAATTATATAAAGTTTTATATTAATCTTTGTAATATATTTTGTATCAAAAAATTGAATATAATTATGTATATAAAAAAAAATAAATAATGAATCGCAATGTATAATAATTAAAATGTGATAGAATAATAAAATTACATATTTTAAAAATACATATATAATAAATTTAATTAATGTAAATAGAATTGCAAAATACAAAAATTACCTTCATATATAAAGAGAAGAAAACATAAATTATATTTGATAATTCATATTACTTATTGCATTAAAACTTAAGTATTGTATACACTTTTTGATTGCCAATTAATATTAAAAATTGTTAAATTTTGTACTATACTAATAATAAAATAAAAATAATTAAAATTTTTTTTTCATTATTATGTATCATGTGAAATGGGAAAGCATAAATGTTTGCATACTACAATAAAAAAAAGAATCAAATATTAATAATTACACAAACAGTAACAAAATAAAAAGTATATATTGTGCAATTCAATAATAATTAATCTCTTCTTGTGTGTCATGAACCTAATATTTTTATAATGGTAATAATTATATGATATATGCTTATATATATAATAATATATTAAATTATATATTTGTTACAATAAGTACTTATTTAAATATCATGCTTTTCTTTCTATTTTTAGCCAATTGCTTATCCTGTAGGTAAAAAAAACGCTCTTTTTGAATCATGGGATAATAAGGAAATAGATGAAAATAGTTTAGAAAGTAGTCGAATATTAAATATATTGCGCAATGAAGATAATGATTTGTATCATATTGGGTGTTTGCTATACGAAAATTATACTGGTGCACAATTGCTCCATATTAATTATAATAATGTTTGTGATCTTTTCAAAGAATGGTTGAATAAAAGAATAAATGTATACAGAGAGAAAAACAAATTATGTAGCAAGAACTTATTACTAGATAAGAGATTTATGGCTCTATGGGAAGAAAAAGTAAATGCTCAGGATGATGATGATGATGGAAAAAATTGGTGCAATTGGGAAGTATCCACTGGATATTCCTGTTATATCCTATCTCCATTGAAATCCTTTTTTTGTACACTATTTGTTTTTTCTATTATTTTACTTTTCATATTTTTTCTTAAATATAATGTAATATAGATTTATTCATAACTACGTTTGCAGATATTTTAAGAGATATTTCTATTTTATAAATATAAAATAAATTAAACTATTTATACCTTTTATATTTTATCTCATTTATCATTCACATATAGTATGCTGAAATCAAGAAATTTTTATATGATAAAAGTTATAGGAAGACCTTAATAAGGTATTATATACAGAAATTATTTCACATTAGACATAGATTATATATTTCATTAGATTCAGAAAGTAACTTTATTAATATGCTTTACCCTTGTGGGAATTAGTTTTAATTAAAATATGTGAGGGAATATCACTTTTAATTTAGAAGTTTCCATAAAAATCCACATTGATGAAAAAAAAATATTATTAAAATAAATGTAAAAATGACTATTTTATATTATAAGAATTAAATGTATATTAACGTAATATACATAAATATATCCTACGTAATATACTTGTAATTGCTATTGTAAAATAAAAATGTAATTGATTGAAGATGTATGATTTTATTCCATTATTTTATAATTATAAGTGTTTAATTTCTATTTTTCTTTATCTTTACCATAATCATAAAATATATTTTATAATTTACGTATAATATATTGTTATAATACACTTATGAATGATGTATAAAATTGTTTCATTTTTATTTTTCAGTCATTTCATTATTTCAAATAACATGTTTTAACTGAATATTAATATTTTTTTTCTTCATTACATTACTTAGTTCAATAAAGAATACATACTTAATATTATCCATTTGGTATATAATTAAAGCTTAATTTTGCATAGTTTATAATTAACGTATGTTTTATATATTCCGATAAATTTCTGATAGTTCATGGTTTAGAATTATATGTTTAATAGTTATATTATCATAATATATTAATATGATTATTAAAATTATTTATCTCATTATATACACTAATTCTTAGAATAATAAAAAAATAATATAATATCTTATGTATCAAAATAGGTTAATATTATTGGGATTCATTATATATATATTTTTTATATTTAATAAGATTATAATTCAAGATTTATAAATTCAGATTGATTTATTATATCTTATTATAAATCTTTTACCACTTTTATTTTATATAACTAATATACAGAAGTTTTTCATATTTCGATTAATGTAATAAAGTATATATTCAATGTGTCTCTAATAATTACTATGTGTGCGGTATATATTTATTAATAAAGAAAACACATAATTATAGTTTCACAACAATTATATAATTACTTCATATATGAAAATATTATGGTTTTTAATGCCATATGTTTTTATTATTATGATCCCATGTTTATATATTTACATATTTTATTAATATATTTAGTTTAGATGCAAAATAATATAAATATGCATGAGATGGAGAACATAAATGTATGTTTTAATTATTTTAACTTATATTAAATGTTATAATACATTTGTGATTCATTTTCTATAAATATATACATACACATCTATGAGTAGATATTCATATTTTGGTATATTATTAAATTATTTTAATTTTTAGTTTGAATATATTGAAGGTTTTTCTAAATGTGAAGCTATTATGAATGAAAATGAAATGTATGAAATTTCAAGTTTTAAAAGTATTTGTAATAAAAATGTACTACGTAATTTTGATGAATCTGGAACCGAAAACATGAAGACATGCATTAATGTTATGAAATATATATCCAATATATATACGTTAACAATGGATAACGAGCCTACAGAAACCCCATGTTTGTACATGTATTATTGGATATATAATTATCTTATGGAAAATAAAAAAGTTAACATCACGAGAAAACTTTTTATTGAATTCCTTAAGACATACGAAGATGATGCTCATAATAATACTTTATGCAAAAATTATAAAGAGGATGATGCAGAAAATATTTTGAATACATGCATATATATGATATGTATATTTGTATAAATAGGGATGATGCTAAAGTAAATAATAAACGCCAGCATTTTTATAATGCACTTCATAAAATTATAGAAATAAAAAACGAAGAAACGGAAAAATAAACATAAAAACAACCTGAAATTATTCCAGTTTTTAAACGAACGACAACGACCACTGGTAGGTACAATACTTCAGTTATTATTTTAGTTACAATGATTGTAATAATATTAATGTATTTTTTATTATTATTAGTTCATAAGGTTATTTATTATGTTATTTGTACATATCCTGTAATATAATTTTTTTAAAAAATTTAAAAAAAAAGGGAAAATTTATAAATAAAAAAATGTATTCTTAATTCTTATATTTTTTTGTATTATATATAGTGCATGTCATATGGATTATGGATAATCCATGTAAAAGAAATTTTAAGGAAGAAATGGAATAAAAGAGGGAAAAGGATTGTATTCGAGAATCATGACATATGCAGTAATATCTCAAACATTTTTGAATATAATTTGTTATATAATTTTGATTAATTTTACCAATAAATATATAATACCAAACAAATAATTAATGTAAGCTTTAATGGATCATAGGTAGTAATTTGTGTTTGTTGCAATCGTGAAAAATATATATTTGTACTAATAGTACTTATGATCTCATATTAACGAGGAAATATAATAAAAATATTTTGTAATAAAAAGGTGTTCAGGGTTTATGCTATTTTTTTTTAAATATGGTTACAAGTCCTTATTTTAGTAATAAGAACAGACATAAGTATACTTATATTTTTAGAGAAATGATGATTAAAAATTTCATGTTTATGTATATTTAAAAATGTATACATGATATATTGGTGAAAATATAATTTTACTCATATACATATAAATTATTTATAATAGAGAATTCATTATTGATAAGGTATATATTTCTGTATTATAAAATAATTATAAATATATTTTAAAATTAATTACTTAATATGCTATGTATTAATGTGTAAGTATTATTTTATAATTAGTGTTACATAATTTTAACCATAATATATTTTTTAATAGGGAAACTAATATTATTCAATATAGAACTAAGGCATTATATACATCCAGAATTATAATTACATAACTAGAATAATTTACAAAATCACAATGTCCTGTACAAAATGTATTTAATAACTAATATTTTGAGGAATTAATATATTTTCATTTTTAATACATAGGATAATATAAAATTATATTTTATGTACATTTATTCTATCTTTATGGCATTTATTATATAATATAATAAAAATTATTATAATATAACTCTACACATTCGTTTATTATGTGGTATTATAATGTTTTCTATTGGAGAAGCATTTGTACGTTGTTTTAATAGTCTCATAAAAATTATGCAGTATTAATTTTTTGTACATTCATATTTCATCCAGTATTTTTTTTTTTAATATATAACAACAGTTTATGATATAAATCAAATAATGTATTATTAAGAAAAAAAATAACATAAAATTAAAAGTAATCAGAATATATGTAAAATTTAATTTTTAATAAAAAATTAAAAAACTCTTAAATAATATCAATAATTCTAAAATAATTATATTTATTTTTTTGAATACTTATAAGACAAATGAAAAAAATATATTATTGTATATATATATATATAAAAGAAATTAAAATGTTTTCTTTGTAGCCTAAAAACACACATGAAAATCTTATTTAATAGGTTTTTACAATAAATATTTCCTATTTCATATTAAAAAATTATAATTCACGCATAAAAATATAAACTTCTATGAAATTTATCTATTTCTAAGATGAATATTTATTTATCTTAAAATGTTGTGCGAAAATCTAAGTTATTAATACTGAATTATATATAAAATATATTGAAATTTAGATGAATATCTATTAATGTTATATATGTTTCCTGTTATTTCATCCATAATTGATTTTCTGTAATCAAAACATACTTAATAATTAGAATTAGATAAATCATTCATAAAACATTTGTAAAATCAAAAATATTATTATTTTATATTTGAAACCTATTTAATATTACTTAAGCTTCAAGTAACTTAATTTACGATCATGTTTGTACATACTAGTGTGTTGAATAATTATCTCTATTAATGTGTTCATCAAATGAGGTTTCATAATATACCATCAACAATCGATGTGTTACTCCTTGTATCTAATATATATATATTTCATTTTTTCATCTATTTATATATAATTTAATTTCTAATTCATTAAAATTTTACATTAATCAAATGTATTTCCTTGTATATTATATCTACTTATTTTGTTTATGCTTAACATTTTTAAATTCTATATACTAGGTATTAATAAATAATTATATTTTTTAATATTTAATGAATATATTTTGTATTTTGAGACATTGATTATATTTATGATGTCTCGTATTATATTACGCAACAGGATATGTTCTTAATACTTATACATTTGTGAATGAATATATTTACTTCACTGGACATCTTATAGAAGAATGAGAACACTCACTCAATTTATATTTAATATTTGATCTTTGTGTAACCATTCATTGATATCAATATAACAGATGCATTAATTCTGTATTAAAATACTCTTATGTATTATATTAAATAATGAACACTTTTACAGATAAGAAAGATGACAGAGAAGCAGAGTCTATATCCAACTCTATATCTTTTCATATTAATACATAAAATATCCATTAATTTAAATTTATTATAATCTACAGTAATTCACTTTACAATTTATTAAAAAGTCTTATGATACTATTTTTACTTTTTTATAAAATTCATTATTTTTTATATGTGACAAATTTTTATTGCTGTACTTATAACAATAATTTGCAGACATAATCTGATTTTATTCAATTAAATGATTCGCTATCATAACGATAGAGTGCAACCTCTATTTTAATGAATCATAAATTTTTACTATATTTTCTGTTATTTCATGTATAAATATATGGAAATTAATTCAGGGGAATTAATATATAATTTTGTACTATTAAGGGATATAATAATAATACTTTTGGATACATAATATGCTTTTAATAGTTAATATATGTGAATAAATTATGTTTTATATATCATTTATCGCAAATAAAAAACAATATAAATTTTCTATATATATATATATATATATATTTACGTGGTTCACTTTTTAAATTTATTTATCCTGAAGATTATTAATTAAATTAGTTCACAATAATAAGAATTGTAATATGAAAATTGAATTAACTCACCTAATATTCTACTGTTTTAATGAATTCAACATATTTTATCCCAATATTAATGCTGAATTTAACGCATAATAATTTATGTAATAAACAGTATATTCATTTCATTGTAAAATGATAAATATTATTATAATATTGAATATATTATAAAATTATAAATATATAATAATTTAATGTAATTTTTACAGAATTTATTTCGCAATAGTTATTTATTTTATTTATGTAAATATAATATTAAATAAAATACACTTTCCAATACGATGCTATCATAAAAAGTAAATATATAATACAATATGTGTTATTATATACATGTATAGTCCTACTATATATTTAACTAATTTATTCATTTTTTAGGTTTAATGAAGAATTTCTGCAATAAAGGAAATTAAAATAATAATGTAATATTCGTTACATTATTAGAGAAATTACCAATATGAATATTCATTTCATTAAAATTTTTTATTTATATAATGGGGTGTGTTTTATAGGTATTATTTTTTTTCATGCATAAAGGATAATGGGAATATAGTGTATGTATAAGCTTGAATGATATAGTATGTTAATAATATGTACAAAAAAAAAAAAAGAAATAGTAATATTAATTTCATCATGTATAATAAATAACTAAAAAATTAATAAATATATTTTATACCCATAATTTAATTTAATATGATTAATAGACTATAACTTTTTTAAGGATACATATAACCACACTCAAGATAATATAAAATCATTAAAAATTGTAATGTATTCGTGAGAGTATGGTATATAATTCACAATTCTTATTATAACTTGCATTTACGTATACATTGAAATAAAATTATTATTTTGTTCTTTAATATATATATAAATATATATGTAAATAAGTAATGATCAATATATATACAACTAAGAAATAGCATGCATACGAATAAAAGTTTAAATTATAAAGAATTACAATAATAATAAATATTACATAATAATAAAGAATATTTAATAATTCTATATCATTAATAAATTAAATTAGAGTATATATAAATAAGTTATATTATTAATTACATATAAATATATACATAAATATAAAAATATTACTATAAAAAAATGTATTATACCTAATGATATAATACAAAAGATACAAATGTAAAACTTATTCGAAATTTAATATCTATTTCTGTATTATAAAAAAAATACATTATTATGCATGAATTAATAAATTATATGTATATTAATACATTATATAGGATAAATATAATAATTATATAATTATAGTTATTATATATATTTTTTTTATAGAGAATAATATGTTATCATTATATTGCCATATTTATGGATATATTACGAATATAAATTTTACTATTTTAGATTATTATATAAATCCCACATGGTAAATCTATTTTATATGTTATATATTTATATGTCATATCAATTTAATAACGAATAAAGAATGGCATAATACTATTTTTTAACATAATTATCAGTATAACTGTTTTTAAAGTGTGTTGTCCAGAAGTTCTTCTAATATTTATAAAGTTATATAAGTTAATAAATATTTGTTGAATATTATATATATTATTATATATTTAAAATATAAATTTGTAAAATAAATAAAAAAACAAATTAATGAAACTATTCCAGATATGCAATGCATAATGGCTCAGGCAAGTGATGTGAACACAAAAGTATGTAACTATTTCTTATAAATATTTTGTTTTTTATGATATTGTGAAAAATATCTTTATTCATGAAATTAAAGTAAAAAAATTTCCTTAAATAAATTATATTTTAATTCCTTGCATTCAATGTACCTCTCATTCATAGATTTCTTTTGGTTCTATATTTCCCGAATGTTCAAACGATTATAATTTTGCCAAAGATATGTATCGTGATATTTTACAAAGAGATGGATTGAGCCATGTTTGCGCTCATTTCGGTAAATCAGTAACTATATACCAAGGAAATTGGTCGCAATACATATCACCATGCATTGATCTTGGTCATTATTTATATCATATAAAACATAAAAAGGATAAAAATAATATAAAATCATATTGCATATATTTTAGTTACAAGTTAAAAGAAGCTGTTTCCTATAATAATAATAATTGTAAGAGTATAGATGAATGTTACCAAAAGTTTATAGCAGCAAAAAGAAATGAAAAAATAGACGTACTTAATATATGCCAGGGATATATTATAAATATTGATGATAATACATATAAAATATTTCAATATCTGGATAAATTATATGAAACTGTTTATAAAAGAAATAATGGGAAGAGATGGATATGCTGGAGTCAAGATATAAGAAACTATGCTCCATATATGAGACATTTAGAATCATGCAGTTTTAAGCATGACATCTATTTCCAAGAAATGCTTAATATACTTAATGATAGATATATTATGTTATGCCCTCAATTGGAAAAAATTGATCTCTTTAAAAACATTCCTAGTCCTACCATAAGTGGAAAAGAGGAAAAAATCGATGAACAACGAAAAATCGAAGTAGAAGTGACAACCCAAGCAGAAGAAAAAATCCCGTTAAAAGCAACAAACGGAATAGAAGAAACAATCCAAGTAGATAAGAAAAGCCAAGGAGAGGTGGGAAGCCCAATACAATGGACTAGCGCACAACATGGGACAAACACAGAAGGGAGAATAACATCATCGCTAAGCACAGGCTTTATTATTTTACCCTTTATTATATTAATAATTGTTTTCATTTTGTATAAGGTCAAATTTAATTCATTAAGTATATATTATTATAAAATTAGGTTAATATATTACTCTGAAACATTTATAAAATATAATTTTGCTTAGAATAAGAATATTACCTATTTTCTTTTTTAACAGTATACCCTATGGGGCTCACTTGTACAACGAAGGGTACAGAAGTTAAAGAGAATGTTCATCAAAAATAAGAATAATGTATATAGAGATATAATGGATTATTTTGAAAAAACATACCAGGATTCAATAAATAGAAGGCGCCATATTTCTTATAGCCAAGGAGGATATTACGTATAAGTGAATAATGTTATATAAGAATACATTAAAAAAGTAAATAAAACTATAAGACAGAATTTGTTACATGAATTGAAAAATCAATTATACAAATAAATATATAAATATAATAATAAAATTATAGAACACATTTTTATTATTTTAGAAGGAATATTTGAAAAAACAGAAGATATAAATTTTAATATATACGCACATTATGAACCATGAATATATTTAGTATTCAATATTTACAATAAATTGATTATATATAAAATATAAATAGACTATTATACGATAATTAAATAAAAACTATAGGGAAATAAAATTTAAATATATTTTTTATGTTCTTATAATGTGTCCACTATTATGTATTAACTGTTTTTAAAATATAAATAAAACAAGAAATAAAA